CTGCTGATGGACCATCTCGAGAAGAACTGCCTCGATAAAAGATGTGTATAAGAGACAGCATCCGGGTCGCCTGCCGAAGACCACCACTGCCCTGGATGTAATGGACCATCATGATTCCTGCCTTCCGGAACGTAGCCTTCAACACTTCAAGCCGTCCGTATCTAGGCCGTGGATCGAACCAGCCCTCGGTCGAACGGTCACTTGTCGAAGAACGATAAATTTTGGAACAGAACTATGCTATTTGAAACCTAACCTCAGAAGCGGTGAACGTAAAATTACGTAATTTAACGATGCCCGGATGTCAGATTCGATCCGCGGCCTGGTGGTTCACGGCAGGTTCTATGCAAGGCCGGAGGAAGACAAAGCCGAGTGGTTCACGGCTGATTGGTGGATGTCCGGAGAGATTCAAGGCGTTCAATTCAGGGCTTATTGGTGCACAAAATTGCTGGTGCACGGCTGCGCTCCCCACGGCTGGATCTGCCAGCCGCGGTTGCGGATTGTGTGCAGCTGCAGGTTGTCCGCGATCTCGGACGCCGGGGCAGCGTTGAACAGATCCTGTTTGTTTGCTAGGACTGTCAGGGAGAAGGGGTAACTTTTTAATATGAATATAATATATGATATTACTATCCCTAAGTATATAGTAAGTAAATGCGGCGTTGAACAGATCCTGTTTGTTTGTTAGGACTGTCAGGGAGAAGGTATAACTCCTGAATATAAATATAATGTATAATATTACTATCACTAAATATATATATAGGTAAAATATATATAATATTAGTTATTGTGCTGAACGAAAAAAAAACGCAGTATGAGGCGTGCCTTAATGTTATTAGAAAACGAACAGATTACTAATTTATATTATTTTTGTTTTTATTTTATTCTTTTTGAAATGGCTAGATAATTAGTTTTCTACTAGTTTAGTTTTTATTGTATTATATTGGTGAATAAATTGACAACCAGTTTTATTATAGTTTACCATCATCCGTTTTTTATGAAGAGAAGCGTATAGAAAACTTGCATATAAGCAGGGACTACATAGCTTCACGGCTCGACCAAGACGCGATGTGTCGCAGTGTTTGTGGAAACTATTTGTTAAATTATTAGCAACCGATTATTTTTTTCAAGTAATATAATGATAATATTTATTATTATTTTTCAAGTCTGCGATCAATGGGAAATTTCAAATTGATAAAAAATCAGTATGTATAAATAATGAATGCTATTTAATTTTAATTTATGTCAGGGAACAGTAAGCATGGGCAAGTATGTTAAGTTTCATGTATTAGCTAATATAAAATGAATCGATATGGAACCAATTAAATTTAGACACTTAAAACCTTAATCTATAATCTATATGAACATGAGGATGATATCCGTGTGAATATGAAGATAATATCCATGTGAATATGAGGGAGATATCCATGTAAATACAAGTTTGATATCCATGTGGATATGATAATAATTGTCATGTTTAGATGACTATGAAATCCATGTGAATATCAGTACGATATTCATGTAAATATGCGTACAATATCCATGCCATTCTCAGGTGAGGAATATCTCGTGGCATAATTTAAGCTTTGAGAAACGGTTCAAGGTTCCATTCTTTTATCATAAAAATTATGGATCAGCCACAATGCATTGAGCACCGGACGTCTCGGACAAATTTACGGCCGGACACGCGGCCTGTCTTGCGGCCGGTCTCACGGCCAATCTCCAAATTCAGTGACCAAGGAATATCTCCCAAACTAATGAACGTAGCTCCATGAAACTTTGTAAATGTATTCATTATGACCTAACGGTGATGTTTGGCTCGTAAAATTTCTTCCCATTTCCCCTTCATTCGTGAATTATACGGCAACACCTGCCGAAATTTGAAGTGACCAAGAAATTTCTTTTAAACTATTGAACAGATTTGAACGAAACTTTATTATACGTATATTCTTAACTTTTCATGGGGTGGTGTTTAGCTCGTGTTAATTTTTTAGACTTTTTCTTCGTTTGCAAGTTATACGGCTATACGTATACGGCTCTTTGTCAATGCAAATTTAAAATCGGCCTCAGAAATTATTCTCGTTTCTCCGTATATCCGTATAACTCGCGAACGAAGGTAAAATCTAAAAAATTGTCTCGAACTAAACATCACCGCTGGGAGGTCAGGTTTGTATATCCAAATCTGTTAAGTAGTTTAGAAGAAATTTCTTGATCTCTGCAAATTTCGGTCCGAATTGTTCTACAACTCACGAATGAAGGCGAAATTGAAATTTTTCACGAGCTAAACATCACCATTAGATTCTAAAGAATACGTGTACCAAGTTTCATCGAGCTGCGTTCATTAGTTTGGGAAATATTCCTTGGCCTTTGAATTTGGAGATTTGCCTCAAGACCGGCCGTAAATTTGTCCGAGACGTGAGCACCGGCACCCCGGCCAGTTTCTCCTCCCCCGCCACTCACCCAACACCGGCACCCCGGCCAGTTTCTCCTCCCCCGCCACTCATCCAACACCGGCACCCCGGCCAGTTTCTCCTCCCCCGTCACTCACCCAACACAGGCACCCCGGCCAGTTTCTCCTCCCCCGTCACTCACCCAACGCCGGCACCCCGGCCAGTTTATCCTCCCCCAATATCTCGGCGAGTTCGAAGCCAGTTTCCTCCATGCGTTTTCGGTCTGCGGAGTCGATGACGTAGAGCAGGACGTCGGTGTTCTCGAAGTAGTTGCGCCAGTAGGGCCGGATCTTGCGCTGGCCCCCGATGTCCCATACGTGCAGCTTGAACCCCTCGCATGACACGCTCTTGATGTTGAACCCCTGAGGGCACGAGGGTGTTAGAGGGCTCATTAAAACCCCATGAAACTAGAGAGGTCTCATTAGAACCTCATTAAGGGGATGTGGGTGCAGTGAGACGCATTGATGTTGAACCCCTGAGGGCAGGAGGGTGTTAGAGGGCTCAATAAATTAGAGGGCGCATTAAAACCCCATGAATCATGATGCCATGAGACGCTCTTGATGTTGAACCCCTGAGGGCACGAGGGGACAAGAGGGTTCAATAAATTAGAGGGCATATTAAACCCCATGAAAACATGGTACAATGAGACCCTTAAATTTGGTATAATGAGTCCCATTGATGTTGAAGCTAAGAGAAGAAGAGGGAGTAAATGTTACATTAAAACCCATTGAGCTTCTTGTTGTTGAGCCCCTTTAGAACCTCCTTTGAACCTACTTAGAAACCCCTTAGAACCCCTTTAGAACCCCTTAGAATACGAAATATTCAAAGACAAAACCTTTATGACACGAACGGATGTTGAAAACATTACGTGTGAAGAAATATTAGTATTTAAAACCCCAACTAGACATGTGTTGCGTGTTGAACCCTCGCAAAAGCTGTGAAAATTAGAGGGTAGATAGGGGTTGAGGGTAGACAACATAGCAAGGGTAGAGGGTAGATACGTAGGGGTGATGTGGGTCATGACTCACCTACGTAGGGGTGATGTGGGTCATGACGACTCACCTGCGTAAGGGTGATGTGGGTCATGACTCACCTGCGTAGGGGTGATGTGGGTCATGACTCACCCGCGTAGGGGTGATGTGGGTCATGATGACTCACCTGCGTAGGAGTGATGTGGGTCATGACTCACCTGCGTAGGGGTGATGTGGGTCATGACTCACC